GTTTGTTTGTTTGTTTGTTTGTTTGTTTGTTTGCGTGCGTGCGTGCGTGCGTGCGTGCGTGCCTGCCTGCCTGCCTGCCTGCCTGCCTGCCTGCCTGCCTGCCTGCCTGCCTGCCTGCCTGCCTGCGTGCCTGCGTGCCTGCGTGCGTGCCTGCCTGCGTGCCTGCGTGCCTGCGTGCCTGCGTGCCTGCGTGCCTGCGTGCCTGCGTGCCTGCGTGTGCTGGCTGTTGGTGCGGGTAAGTGTTGTCCTGTGTTGCGTTTGCGGGAGGGGCGGGAGGCATGTTTTGCTGTTTGGGTCGGTGTTTTCCGGGGGTGTCCGGGCACCGGCCCAACGCTATTTATTGCAACATCATCTCTTGGTGTTGTCATCATCACTGTCGACGTCACTCACGATGGCTACTAGTAACTAGCAGCATGAAGAACACTGTCGTCACGGTGTTCCCACGTCACCGTTATCGCTGGTATGCTATCTTCATGAACTATTTACCAAGACACTGCGACCGTTCTTATGAATTTATATGCAGAGCAACGGCCCTACATACAAGTTCATACATATATATATATATATATATATATTTATGTATGTATATATACATACGCAGACGTAGCATGCATGTGGTCATGTGTATATACAGACCATGGTGCACTTTCGGCATCAATGATATCTGATATCACGGCTCTGTTATTCTTCCCGCTCTTGTGTTCTTCTTGTGCGTTTTTGTGCCGTCATTACCAGCAGTACTCATGGTCATTCTGCCTAGCCCCTACTCACCTAAAATGACTTCCGGACCACTGTCATTGGGACTGTCCACCGCCTTGATTCAATGCTTCTTTTTATCCTGTGCACGTCAGCAAAAACGTATGTAAAGACAGACAGACACTCAAGCGACAGCACGCTCCATCGTGATCTCACAGTTAATCTAACATGACCGCGCGAATGCAGAAGCAGTGCCGTCACATAGCGAGCGAATGGGGACGAAAAACACGAGTATCTGCAAAAGCACGATTCCGCTTCATCAGAGAAAGCACGACGACAAAGATTTCGCGAGTATGGTTGTTCGTGACGGATGAAGAGTTCTGACTTCGATTCAATCTGGTTCCTGAGACGAACGGATGGGTGACAATGTACAGAATACAGAGTGAAAGGTTTGCTTCCCTTCTCAGTGGGATCAGGCAAAAAGCGAAGATGTTATCGCTTTCATTCGAAAATGATTCTTGGAAAGCAGCAAATGATTCCAGACCCAGGGACTGCGTCTTCGCTTACGGTTTCGGTGAGTCGGGCAAGATGCCGTGAACCTGCCGCGGAGTTGCGAGTTCTGGAAGCAGGACTAGGAGCGGTCTAGACCTTTGGAAAGCATGAAGCATTGCGGCAGAGCTCCCCCCGAGCACGACAGAACATTGCAGACAAGAAACCAAAGGGCCCAGGCTCAAGGTTCCTAACGACTCGACTTCGCCGTGCCGAATGGGGAATTGCGAGAGGGCGCGAGCCTGGCACCTCCGGCCCAAGGCTTCAGGTATAGCCAAGACAACTGCAACAACAGAGCACAATCTGCTGCGGATCGTCTGCTTCAGTGCGCCGGGGACAGATGCAAGCTTGGTAACACCCGCATGCTACTATCACTAAGCTTGGTAACACCTAAGCTGGATAGGTGCTTGCCGGACAGAACAAGCTACCAAGCAACTCGTTTTTAGTGCCGCCTGCATCCCAAGCAGAAACGGGACACCCCCAAAGACCCAGCCAGGACTCAAGCCAACACTTCAGTGTGCAAAGCCACGTGAGAACCGCAGGTTAATGTCTAATCTCGGGATTCTTAGCGCAGATCTTTTGCATCACCGCTCGGCAGCCACCGGACTCGTTTTTTGGCGGGGAGTTGGCCTGGATAGCAGCAGTGCATGCTACGTTGCTTTTTGCATGTCAATGTCATGTTTCACATCTTGCGAAGGAGCAGGGATTCAACAAGGCTTCAGCCCCAGATGCAGAGTAATGTTGATTTCACGTGAATCGCAAGCCAGGGACCTATCAAAAGAGTTCCCGAGGCATGGCACCAGCATGAGAGTTAATTTCAATGAGCATGAAATTCCGTTCTGGAACTAGACTTCCGAGGGTTAGTGCTTTGCTATTACAGGGTGTTCTTCGGTTTGTTCCTGCGAATCTGATGTTGCAATTCGTGACGGTTTCGGAAAATTTGAGAAATGACTGGACCTTAATTCGGCGGGCAGGATGATTCACGTCTGCTCTGTCGCAGGCAACGCGTGGGTCTGAAGGGCCTTGGGCGAAAAAGGCCAAAAGGCAAGGTATGTACTGACGGGTCGCGAGCCTTCCAGCAAACCCAGCTCCTTCCAAGAAGCGCTCCACGCTTGTATCCCTGCGACCCTCCTTGGGAACAAATGACTCAAAGGCACAAAGATTTGGAGGCAGAATGGATGACTATGCATGCCAGAGTTCACCACAAACTGGTATTGCGACATAACTTGTTAGTAGGACAAGACGTGTGGAGCCGTGCGATGGCTGTGGCTGAACTGGATGTTGTTCAAAGTGTGTGCAACCAGTTACCGCATATGATGTGTACGTTCAACGACTCTTGCGTCATTTTACAATGGTTGGAGTATGCAACTGCCACCATTCTGACGAGTGTGCTTTTCCTCGACGCCGGGTCAGCTGGATCAGAGAGCAGGAGCATTTGGCCTCTAGCCACCGTTGTCTATCGTGCGGCACGTTTTCAGCTAGGCAAGCATGGGCATTGCTTGCTTCGTTGGATGAATCCCTTGCTTCAGTATCAGCGTTCTGAATTTTGCACAGAGGATGTCCATCAGAATGTCGCACACAGACTCGCTCTTTTGGATTTCTCAGGTCCTTGCATAGTCGTCCCTTTAAGGGCGCGATAGCCAATTTCGACGAAAAGGAGAGCTTCATTCACCGTCCACAGATTGGTATGAGACGGTCAGACACTTCAGTTGTCGAGTTGTTGAGCACTTGTGATTTAACTGCCTCCAGGTTTTGCCAATGTAAGCAAATAGTTGATACCTTCGTGCCCCTACATCCTTAGCTGGCTCCATCCATCTCCGCGGGTTCTGCGACCATGTTGATAAAAATCTCTTCATCATGGCCCCGAACGTGGATTCACAATGTCAGTGTGCACATGATTCGCAGCTAAATGAAGCGTGAAAGATTCGATGGCTTGTTCCGAAGCGATGGCTTTCGCGGACAAGGTCTAAGAGGCTCACATCTGGCTGCAAGGACGTCTGTGCTCAAGAAGTTGCCTGGCTCGAAGCAAAGCAGATCGGCAAGATCGCGCTCTATTGCTAGCCGCTGGCCCAAAAGCTCATCAAAAGCATCCAGCCACCCCACGCCCGCTGCCGAAACCGGAGTCAGGTCCTTTACCCCAAAAGCGCAAAACTCTAAATGAGTTTAGTTCTTGAGAAACCCGTATAGGAACCGGTGTAGAAATCAGAACTTTTGAAGGAATCCTCCAGGGACTTTACCCAAGGCACTGAAGTACCCGTATGGTTTGGTGGAGATGAGATTTCACTTACATGCGCTGACCCTGGCCTTCATCGTCATGCTCTGCATTTTCGAGCCACTCGCGAAGCTGTTTTTCACTCTGGGCAGAAGCTGGCCCTAAGGGTTGCTTTGAAGGGTTGCTGAAGGCCCTGTAAGGGTTCCTTTGAGGGATCCAAAAGGTGTCTTTCTAGGGTTTTATAAGGGCTTACAGCGGCAGCGGCATAGAGTTGTCCTTTCCAAAAGCCTTATAAACAGATAGACAGGTCGGGTAAGGTTTCTTTTCGGGTTTGCTATGTTCTATGATTGAGGGCTTGTGGTTTAGGCGAAAGGGTGCGGTGATTGGTAAGCTTGCTTTGTCTTACAGGCACAGCAAAGTCGTAACAAGAAGCTCAGGTACAGATCACGCAAACAAGCGCGACCAGAGGGGACGACAACCAAAAGTCACCAGAGTGCATTATCCGTATGACCGCAGATGGGAGAAAGCGGTCGACCCAGCATATCACTACGTCATGCAGAGTCTGCACAACTGTACCGCCTCAAACTGGTGTTTGTCCCTTGGCCGTTGTGGGGTCGTATTGCGGAAAGCTGAAGAGGTTTTAGAAGGCATGTTCGAACAACTTTACCCGAACACGACCCTTGTACCCCAAAACACTCCAGCCTCTACACTCTGGATCAAAGCCGAGGATCATCTCTACAGTTCGAAGGTCGGGAGCCAACGCCGTGTCGCAATTTTTCGAGTATCTGGTCGGTTCAGGGTTTAGGCTCCAGGAGCAATAATGGCGTCATAGGCTTTTTACGGGGTGTAGGGTCAAGGAACGTACTCTCAAGATACCAACAGAAGAAAGTATGGCAAATAGTTTGCTGTATGTGATGCGTTACCTCAAACTTCGTTTCACCACGAACCAAGGCTTTGTCGATGGGTGTACAGTAACAACTCCACCTCTGCTCAGAAGTTGATATTTGCCATGAATGAGGAGGAGTTGAAAGACGCCATTATCAATGTGCCTCCGTTTGAGGAGGGCATGCGAGCGAGAGAGGCCGCCCTGGAACCCTGGTTTCCGGGCATTAACCTGTCTGAGAATATCATGATTACTTCGAACGGTTCTACACATCCCTGGCCCATGCACTACTCCAAGATGATGAGCTACTTCCGCAACGAGTCGCGGTGGCCCACAGATCTTGCGGAGGAGCTACGGCGTCAAGACATGATGGTTTTGTTCTATCCAGACGGGAGGCTGTTTTGAACTGACCAGCTGAGCCCTCTGCAATGATCCAGAATGCATGACTATGCCAGAGTTCCACTGTTAGTAGGATAAGATGTGTGAGTGTGGAGCTGTGCGACGGCTGTAGCTGAAGTGGAATATTGTGTGCGCAATCAGTTACGGCATATGATATTTGGCATCATCAGGTCCCTTCAACCGCGTTTGCATCATTTTACCGCGGGTGCAGCATGCAACTGCCACCATTCTGGCGAGTTTGCATATGGTCGACGCCGGATCAGAATCAGAGAGCAGGAGCCTTTGGCCAGTAGCCATCGTTGTCCATCGTGCGAAAAGCATGGGCATTGCTTTTTTCGTTGGATGAATCCCTTGCTTAAGTGGTGAGTTGTGCACAGAGAATTTACACCAGAATGTCGCATACAGCCTCGCGTCGTCTGGATTTCTTAGGGCCTTGCATAGTGTAGACGGTCCGACGGTTCAGTCGTGTTACTGAACACTTGCGATCTACCGTAGACTCGTCCAGTTTTTGGGTTTCAGCAGTTCATGCCTTTTGTGCTCCCTACATGGCTGTCCATCCATCTCAGCAGGTCCTGCGATCATGTTGGTGAAAATCTCTTCCACATGGCTTCAGACGTGGATTCCAATGTCAGTGTGCACCTGAAGCACTAAATACATGCCGTAGTTCACGGTAGCAAGACTTGCTCCGCCGCTGAGCGATGGCTGCTGTCAAGGCCGGGCGGCGCCCAAAGCTGCATCAGGCTCGCAGTGTCAGAGCGACCTGGCAGGCGCTGCGGGAGAAGAAGGTGCGCCCGGCACGTGCAACGCATCGCGTTGAAGATTCATGTGGCCCATGCCCCGAGGCACTAAGCTCAAGCCGAGTTGCACCTCATGACTCAAGACCCATCAGGGCTTGTATACGGCATAGGTCCTCGTCGATTGCGGCAAGTCGAGGTTGTGCCACAGGGCACAGAAGCCTTGAAAGCCGCTGCCGAATCTGGGACAAGCAGTGTTGCAGCGACTGCTCGACCATAGCCTGCGACTCCATCAGTCGGTTTCGCATGATTTCGCGGCGGTTAAAATTTTGAGGTCCTACGCCCAGGGGTCCAAGTGCCTGCGCGGTGCATTATGCGTGGTGGGTCGGAGAGATCCGAGTCTTTGGTGCACAAATGCTCGGATGTTAAAAATAGGGGACCCTGTGCTCCTCTTGGGCGACGTCGATGTGTACAAAGCCAGCCGAAATGCAAAATGGCACACAGGTTCATGCTCTGAGACCAAGTCAAAGCCGTCCGTTGAGCAATTTGCTCGTTTCTGCTTCTGAGAGGATCGAGTGGCGCTGCTTCAGCAGGTTCGGGCTGGGTGGGCCTAGTCGGCTTGCTACGGCCGGGCTTCGTCCATGCATGTCTCCGACCATGATTGCAATGCTCGTTGCTAGATTTGGTACCCCACGGAGCACCTCACGTCTTTGAAGAATCTGTGCCAATCGTCTGATGTTGTGCACAGATTGACATCTGCGACAAAGATGCCGAGGTGCCTAAGGGCCGCGAGATGCATGCCACGTACTCTTGAAGCTGTGATCTCAGAACTTCCTTACGTCAGGAAGCCGAGGCAAAGCAGGATCACAAGGGTCTCTTGGTCAGGTTCTTGGTGATCCAGCTTGTCGCTATCGGAATTTTGCGTTCGGAGCAAGAGCAATCCTGGACTGTAAATCAGGTTGCCAACGAGAAGAGCTTACACTTTCGCCGCCAAGTCTATGGTGAGGTCGCAGCAGACATGTTTCGCCTGCGGTATATCCCGATTCTGTGAGTGACATCAGCTTCGTCCAGGCTTTACATTGCCAAGATATTGGGATGCTTTCGATTGGCTTCCCTGCTCAGGGTTCGCATGAAGTCGTCGGAGCCATGCAACGAGTTTGTAAGGCAAGGAGAGTTACGGCCCTTACTTTTCTGGGAGCCTCACGCAATTTCCGCCCTCGCAGGACTACAACAAAGCAACTCAGCTTCTGTCTGGGGCCCGGGGGCCCCAGCAGACACGATTTGGTCTGAGGTTGCTATGTCCTTGATGCAGCGGAATGAGTCCAAAGCAGTAGTGCCCCCAGCTTCAGCTCTTCTTCAGCTCTTCTGGGTGTTTTTTGCTCTGGCCTTGGCCAGCCCAACAAAGGGTTCCCGCATGAGCCTTTTTTACGGCTGCCATGCGCATC